CATCTAAGCAACCGACAGTTGGCCAAAGTGTTAAGTACGTCCGAGGACTCCGTAAATTGCTCGGAACTCACCCCGCCGGGTCGAAGATCGATCTATTATACAGCGGAGGATCTTCCGCGTCTGGGCCGCGGAACGTAGAGCATTATCCACCGGAAGATTAAAAGTTTCCACCGGTCGGGTCACGGGATAATGAGCTGGCTCAATGATTATTAGGATCGAGCGTGTCTGTCGCGCCTACGAATTTTTCGTTTTCTTGCGGCGAACGGGGGATCGGTCGGCGTGGGGATGAAGATCCTTTCAAGACGCCGATAGAGGCAGGTGGGGAACGGCGCGATACCGATGCGTATCATAGTTTTATTCCTTCCACGGTCAGGGAAAAAATGTAATTGGTCTGACCGAAATCTATCGCGAGGTGAACGAGGGAGGAGATGCGATACGGGGAGGCAGGAGTGCAGGGGATGAACGAAACCAAGGAGAAAAAAGCACGTGTGCGAACGGGCGACTGGACGTAATAACAATGATTAGGGCGACGAACGGGCCACGAAAAAAAGGGTAGAAGGAAGTCCTGCCTTGGATCCATCTCAAAATGGCGGCCAGGGGACCACGTGTAACCGTGCCCGGTAGATTTATATCGATCTCTTCTGCGAATTATTGCCAGTGAATTATGAAGCGATATTCAATAGAGACGGCTCTCTTCGGAAAATCTGGCATCATGGGAAAATTTTTCATTTATAGTTTTAATGTAAGGGTGGTCGGAGGTAGCGCCACTATTCCAGGACCGGGGAATAAGCGCGCGATCCTCTCTTATCTTCCTATCTCCTGGTAGGTTAAATCGAGGGTTAACTCTTCGTCGTCGTCGTTCGTCGTTCGATGCACGATGCACCAGTGCCGAAGGAGGATACGGAGGTGGGGAGGGAGGAGGAGGAAGAGGGTCCAGCATTGTTCGCGGACATTGTAAGTATGTCCGGAACAAAGAGCGGTAATCGACCCGTGTAACATTTATAACGTAATGGGAGGGCCTCACCGGCCCATAATAATATCAATTACGGGGCT